ACTAGCTTCTGTTGTTTTAACGTGAAGGTTACTAGCTTCTGTTGTTTTAACGTGAAAGTTACTAGCTTCTGTTGTTTTAAAGAATCTTCTTTATCTCTTTTTAATCTTTCTTAACAGAACATACTTTATACAGACCACGTATACAACTGTATACAACACTGTCAAACAAATCCTGTATGATTCCGTATATAAGACTGTCGAGCATGCTGTTGTATACAACACTACCAAACATTGGTCTCAAGTTTTTACGATGTTTTTCACAGTTAAAACTAATACTGAGGTAAACATTGCTTCACGATGTTTCTTTAACTTTACTAAACATCGCTTCACGATGTTTCTCAGGGTTAAAACATGATCATTAACACTTGGTTGAGCTTTAATAAGGTTGCAATTGATATAAGTTGCATTTATCATAATATCCTTCACTGGTTTCTCATCGCTCGTAAAAATCACAGATCGTATAAATACAGCATTCTAATCCATTCCCTCACACAGGTGACGCACCGTGATCTTCTCTTGAGTGATGCTTTTAACGTTCCAGAATTAAAATACCACATATCTCTATACTGTACATTTTCTGGGGTGTGTACTCGTGTATCACATCTTAGAAACATTCTGTCCCTATCCACCTTGTCAATTCCTCTCAGTATTTTATACGTTGTTATCATGTCCCACTTATCCCTCCTGTCCTCCAGTGTTGTCAGATTGAGTTCCCTTAGGACAAACCCCTCAGCTCCGAGACTTGTCTTGTTGCAAACCATTGCACTTTTTCTAATTTCTTGATCGTGTTTAACCAGGTGTAGGTTCCATATTGGTGCTGCATATTCTAATATGGGCCTGACTTACACGGTGTACAGTGCCGTAAATAACGCCTTACTTAGATGTTGAAACTGCTACTCTCAGGTTTGCCAGGCGCCCGTATGCTGCAGCAGTTATTTGGTTGATGTGCGCCTCAAGATATATGCTAGGTATGATGCTTACCCCAAGATCCTCTTAGGCGGTGCTCCGTCTACGGTCTTCTTTGTCCTTCCCAAAGCTTCGTAATTTTGCACTTGCTGAAGTTAAACTTCAGGAGCCATTTGTCGGACCAGGCTTGCAGCCTGTCCAGATCCCCTGGTAGACTTAACAGATCCTCGAACACTTTCATTCTCACTAGTTTCACATCGTCTGCAAACAGGGACACCTCTCACTCTATCCCTACCGTCATGTTATTCACATACAAGAAACAGCAACGGACCTAGGACTGACCCTTGTGGAACCCCATTCACACATGCACCCACTCTGACAGCTCGTCTCGTACCGACACATTGTTTCCTTCCTGCCAGGTATTCCCTGATCCACTGCAGTACTTTCCCCGGTATTCATGTCTGCCCCTCTAGCTTTCCAACCGGTCTCTTGTGTAGTACAGTCTATGAAGCCTACCCATCCCTCTCTCTCCTGTGTGTGTGTGTGTGTGTGTGTGTGTGTGTGTGTGTGTGTGTGTGTGTGTGTGTGTGTGTGTGTGTGTGTGTGTGTGTATGTGTGTGTGTGTGTGTGTGTGTGTATGTATGCATGTATGTGTGTGTGTGTGTGTGTGTGTGTATGTGTGTGTACTCACCTAATTGTGGTTGCAGGGATCGAGGGCTCAGCTCCTGGCCCCGCCTCTTCACTGATCGCTACTGGATCCTCTCTCTCTCTGTTTCCCGAGCTTTGTCATACCTCTTCTTAAAACTATGTATGGTTCCTGCCTCCACTACTTCAATTGCTAGGCTATTCACTTGCTGACAACTCTTTTGACTGAAGGAAATACTTCCCCAACGTCCCTGTGACTCGTTCTGAGTCTTCAGCTTCCAGTTGTGACCCCTTGTCCCTGTGTCCCTCTCTGGAACATCCTATCTCTGTCCACCTTGTCTAGTCCCCCCAGTATCTTGTATGTCGTTATCAGTCTCCCCTGACCCTTCTGTCCTCCAGTGTCGTCAGTCCGATTTCCTTAACCTTTCCTCGTACGACATTCCCTTGAGCTTGGGATAGCCTTGTTGCAAACCTTTGTACTTTCTCTAACTTTTGACCCTGCTTGCCAGGTGTGGGTTCCAGACTGGTGCTGCATACTCCAGTATGGGCCTAACATACACAGTGTACGTGTCTTGAACGATCCTTATTTAAGGTATCGGAACGCTATTCTCAGGTTTGCCAGGCGCCCGTATGCTGCAGCGGTTTATTTGGTTGATGTGTGCCCCCGGTGATGGCTCGGTGTTATGGTCACCCCAAGGTCTTTCTCCCTGAGTGAGGTCTGTAGTCTTTTTCCACCTAGCCTATACTCTGTCTAAGGTTTCTTTGCCCCTCTCCAATCTTCATGACTTTGCATTTGGCTGGATTGAATTCGGAGAAGCCAGTTGCTGGACCACATTTCCAGCTGTCCAGGTCTCTTTGCGTCCCGCCCCATCCTCGTCCGATTTAATTCTTCTCATCAACTTCACGTCATCTGCGAACGGGACACTTCAGAGTCTATTCCTTCCATCATGTCGTTCACATATATCAAAAATAGCACTGGTCCTAGAACTGACCCTGTGGGACCCCGCTCGTAACAGGCGCCCCTGTGATACCTCTTCAGTACCATTTACTCGTTGCTGCCTCCCTGTCAGGTATTTCCCTTATCCATTGCAGTGCCCTCCCTTTTACGTGCGCCTGATCCTCCAGCTTCTGCACTAATCTCTTGTGGGGAACTGTGTCAAAGGCCTTCCTGCAGTCTAGGAAAACGCAATCTACCCACCCCTCTCTCTCGTGTCTTACTTTGTTACCTTGTCATAAAACTCCAGGAGGTTTGTGATACAAGATTTGCCTTCCATGAACCCATGCTGGTTTTCATTTATAATCTTGTTCCTTTCCAGGTGTTCGACCACTCTCCTCCTGATAATCTTCTCCATGACTTTGCACACAATACATGTCAGAGACACAGGTCTGTAGTTTAGTGCCTCGTTTCTGTTTCCTTTCTTAAATATGGGGACTACATTAGCTGTCTTCCATTTCTCAGGTAGTTGCCCAGTTTCAAGGGATGTGTTGAAGATTGTGGTTAGAGGCACGCACAGCATCTCTGCTCCTTCTCTAAGGACCCATGGGGAGATGTTGTCCGGTCCCATCGCCTTGAGGTGTCAAGGTCACTTAAGAGCTTCTTCACCTCCTCCTCAGTTGTTCGTATGTCATCCAACACTTGTTGGTATATTCCCTCTTGATGTTCCCTTCTGTGCTGTCTTCCCACAGCCCTTCCTGTCTCTACTGTAAAAACTTCCTTAAATCTCCTGTTCAGCTCCTCACATACCTCCTGATCATTTCTTGTGAGTTCTCCACCTTCTGTGTGTGTGTGTGTGTGTGTGTGTGTGTGTGTGTGTGTGTGTGTGTGTGTGTGTGTGTGTTGTGTGTTGTGTGTTGTGTGTTGTGTGTTGTGTGTGTGTGTGTGTGTGTGTGTACTCACCTAACTGTGGTTGCAGGGGTCGATACTCAGCTCCTGGCCCCGCCTCTTCAATGATCGCTACTAGGTCCTCTCTCTGCTTCCTGAGCTGTGTCATACCTCGTCTTAAAGCTATGTATGGTTCCTGCCTCCACTACATCACTTGCTAGGCTATTCCACTTTCTGACACCTCTGTGACTGAAGAAGTACTTCCTAACATCCCTGTGACTCGTCTGAGTCTTCAGCTTCCAATTATGACCCCTTGTTTCTGTGTCCCCTCTCTGGAACATCCTGTCTCTGTCCATCTTGTCTATTCCACGCATTATTTTGTATGTTGTTATGTCTCCCCTGACCCTCCTGTCCTCCAGTGTCGTCAGCCAGATTTCCCTCAACCATTCTTCGTAGGACATTCCCCTGAGCTCTGGAACTAGCCTTGTTGCAAATCTTTGTACTTTCTCTAATTTCTTGACGTGCTTGACCAGGTGTGGGTTCCAAACTGGTGCTGCATACTCCAGTATGGGCCTGACGTACACAGTGTACAGTGTCTTCAACGATTCCTTTATAAGGTATAAGCGCGCGCGCGCGTGTGTGTGTGTGTGTGTGTGTGTGTGTGTGTGTGTGTGTGTGTGTGTGTGTGTGTGTGTGTGTGTGTGTGTGTGTGTGTGTGTTTATCCGCTATCAAATTGCTATGTTTAGCTCAGTCAGTGTCATTGTACCTGATCCAGTACGGAACCTTTATATTAATACTCAAGATTTACCTCCAGTTACATCAGGTCAACAACCACGGAATTAATTGATCACAGGATACATAATATGATATACTAACAGCCTCAGACCTAAAAGATCTAGGTGGAAGCTAACTGTTTTGTTACCTAACTGATACTTATATATACACGGATAAACATATTTACACACACACACACACACACACACACACACACATATTTTATGTCTTACAGCTTGTTTTCTGCAAGGGTTTCCACATAGCTTTCAGCGGGTCTCAGTATTTCTCAGTGTTTTCTCAGTAACTGATTTCTTTCAACAAACCGGCCGTGTCCCACCGAGGCAGGGTGGCCTAAAAAAGAAAAACACAAGTTTTTCTTTTTAACTTTAGTAATGTATACAGGAGAAGGGGTTACTAGCGCCTTGCTCCCGGCATGTTAGTCGCCTCTTACAACACGCATGGCTGACGGAGGAAGAATTCTGTTCCACTGCTCCAACAATAATAGGTGTAACCCCTGGGAGAATAATACCTGAAAGTGACTACAATTTATATTTAGAAAAACTGGATACCACAGCATCGTACTGCTACTTCATTCCATATAAGAGTTACACAGCGGGAAGATAAGCTGTTTCTTGGTGTATGAATGAGGCTACCAAGGAAGGGAAGGACCGAGGACAGAAAGAAGTGAATGAAGGAGGGAGGGAGGGTGCTAGGGAGGGTACGAGAGAGGGTGCTGTGGAGGATATGGGGGACGATGGGTGCTGGAGAAGGTATGAGGGAGTGAGGGTGCTGGGGAGGGTATGAGGAAGGACTCACCCTGGTGGAGCTGGCGTGGAGAGCGGGAGGACTCACCCTGGTGGGGCTGGCGTGGAGGGCGGGCACTATGGTGAGGAGGGGCGTAGTGTTGGTGATGGTGGTGGCTGAGGGCTGTGACGAGGCGCTGTGTCTGCTGGTAGTGGTGGTAGTAGTGGTGGTAGTTGTGGTAGTGGTGGTGGTAGTGGTCAACCCTCCCTCGGAGGACGACGCTGGTGAACTCGACGAAGGTGACGGTGAATCATGAGTACTCCCGCCGCTACCCCCGCCGGTATTACCGCCACCCGCCGCTGTCGCCGCCGCTGCCGTGGCCGCCGCCGCCGCTGCCGCTGCTGGCATGTCTGTTACGTAGCCGCCACTGGCCGTCGTCATCACACCCCCAGAACCTGTAACAAAACACACACGCACACATCATCAACCCATATCCAATCATCAACACGCTAAACGCAAATAAAGTAAGCTAAAATAAAGCATATATTTACAAAGGTGTAGCTAAAAGGCTACAAAGATGTAAACAAAAATAATACATATCTCTCCCACGGGATAACACACACACACACACACACACACACACACACACACACACACACACACACACACACACACACACACACACACGCACCAGCGCGCGCGTATGCACAGGTAAGATGGGAGGCCCAAAAGCAACATGAGAATGACAATGCAGCGAAAGCCAAATCTGAACCAAAACTGTTGTACAGCCACATCAGGAGGAATGCAATAGTCAAGGACCAGGTAATCAGGCTGAGGAAGGTAGGAGGGGAGGTCACAAAAAACGACCGCGAAGTATGCGAGGAACTCAACAGGAGATTCAAAGAAGTGTTCACAGAGGAGACAGAAGGGCCTCCAGAAAGGCAGAAAGGTGGAGTAAACCATCAAGTGCTGGACACAATATATACAACCGAGGAAGAAGTGAAGAGGCCGCTAAGCGAGTTAGGTCCCTCAAAGGCGATGGGGCCGGATAACATCTCTCCATGGGTCCTGAGAGAGGGAGCAGAGACACTTTGTGTACCACTAACAACTATCTTCAACACATCTATCGAAACAGGACTACCGGAAGTATGGAAGACAGTAAATGGAGTCCCGTTTTTAAAAAAGGAGACAGACACGAAGCATTAAACTACAGACCAGTGTCACTGACGTGTATAGTATGCAAGGTCATGGAGAAAATTATCAGAAGAGTGGTGGAACACCAAGAAAGGAATGAGCTTATCAACGACAGCCAGCACGGTTTCAGGGACCGGAAATTCTGCGTAACAAACCTACTGGAGTTCTATGACAGGGTGACAGCAGTAAGACAAGATAGAGAGGGGTGGGAAGATTGCAATTTCTTGGGCTGTAAGAAGGCGTTTGATACAGTTCCACACAAGAGATTAGTGCAGAAGCTGGAGGACCAAGAAGGGATAACAGGGAAGGCACTACAGTGGATCAGGGAATACCTGTCAGGAAGTCAACAGCGAGCCATGGTATGTGGCGAGGTGTCGGAGTGGGCGCCGGTAACGAGTGGGGTGCCACAGGGATCAGTCCTAGGACCAGTGCTGTTTCTGGTATTTGTGAACGACATGACGGAAGGAACAAACTTCGAAGCGTCCCTGTTTGCAGATGATGTGAAGTTGATGAGAAGAATTCAATCGGACGAAGACCAGGCAGAACTAGAGAGAGATCTAGACAAACTGCAGGCCAGGTCCAGAAACTGGATCCTGGAGTTCAACCCTACCAAGTGCAAAGTTGTGAAGACTGGGGAAGGGCAAAGAAGACCACAGACGGAGTACAGTCTAGAGGGGGCCAGAGCCTACAAACCTCACTCAAGGAAAAGGATCCTGGTGTGAGTATAACACCGGGAACATTTAAGGCGCACATCAACCAAATAACTGCTGCAGCATACGGGCGCCTGGCAAACATAAGAACAGCATTCCGACATCTAAATAAGGAGTCATTGAGGACTCTATACACTGTATAGGTTAGGCCCATATTGGAATATTCAGCGCCAGTTTGGAACCCTCACCTAGCCAAGCATGTAAGGAAACTAGAGAAAGTGCAAAGGTTTGTAACAAGACTGGTCCCGGAGCTAAGGGGTACGTCCTACGAGGAGAGGTTAAGGGAAATCAACCTGACGACACTGGAAGACAGGAGAGATAGGGAGGATATGATAACGACATATAAAATACTGAGCGGTATAGACAAGGTGGACAGAGACAGGATATTCCACAGATGGGACACAGCAACAAGGGGTCACAGTTGGAAGCTGAAGACTCAGATGAACCACAGGGATGTTAGGAAGTATTTCTTCAGTCACAGAGTTGTCACGAAGTGGAATAGCCTGGGTAGTGATGTAGTGGAGGCAGGATCCATACATAGCTTTAAGAAGAGGTATGATAAAGCTCACTTAGCGGGAAGAGTGACCGGGTAGCGGCCAAGTGAAGAGGCGGGGCCAGGAGCCGTGATTTGGCCCCCGCAACCACAACTAGGTGAGTACAACTAGGTGAGTATGCACGCATGCACACACACACACACGCACACGCGAGCGCACACACACACACACACACACACACACACACACACACACACGCACACGCACACACACACACACACATAGACACACACACAGACACACACACAGACACACACACAGACACACACACAGACACACACACAGACACACACAGACACACACACACACACAGACACACACACACACATACACAGACACACACACACACACACAGATAAATGAGACTAAAAATTTTTGCCTACACAACGGATCTTTCAACCACAACCACCTACCCCCCCTATCCATCCCTCCCTCACACACAACACACACATACAAGGGTAACACTCATAGAAGCTCTAGACCCTAGTAGCAAGTTCTGCTTTTTATAACCCAGAATTACTGGTATGTGTTAGCAGTATCTCCCCCTCACACCTCCCCCATACACACGAACACACACATATACACACACCTGCACTAGGACAATATGGTAACTAACTAGGAGAATACACACACACACACACACACACACACACACACACACACACACACACACACATGCACACACACCACCACTTGACACAAACACGTACCCCCCCTCCCCTAACCACCTCTCCCCCTTCCCTAACCACCTCACCTTAGCCACCTACCCCTCCCCCAAACCACCTAACCCTCCCCAAACCATCTAACCCCCCCAACTGCCTCCCTCCCTCCAATAACCATCCTCCCCCTCCCCCATAACCATCCATCCCTTCTCTCTCAAACACGTACTCTCCCCCCTCCCCTAACCACCTCTCCCCCTTCCCTAACCACCTACCCCTCCCCCAAACCACCTAACCCCCTCCCCCAACTATCTCTACCCCTCCAATAACCATCCTCCCCCTCCCCATAACCATCCATCCCCTCTCCTCCTAACCATCTATTCCCCTCCCCCTAACCACCCGTCCCCCCTTCTGTGGAGCAACGGGGGAACCTAGAACCAGGATGAGGACATAGAGCTTCAAGGACGAATCTGGGAGGGAGGAATGGGAGGTAGAGCTCATAAAAAGGGAGGAAGACTGGGGAAGGAGACTAGATGAGCTGGAAAGGAAGATGGAAGAGAGGTTAGCAGCAGAATGCAGAAGGTGGAAGCAACAGGCCACAGCAGCAGAAATCAAGATAGAGAGATTAGAAGAGGAGCTGAGACATCTGAAACAGCATAGAGACAAAGATATTACAGAAGTAGCATCGGCAATGGCTACATCAGACACAGACAGCAGGTCTGAAGGGAGCATGGAAACTAAAGTGTATGCAGAGGTCCTGTCAAACCTACATGGGGCCAAAACAAAGACAGGGAGCACACTAGGACAGAATGAGAGGTTGGAAGACATGGAAGGAACTAGGACATGTGCAGGGACCATACCAGATACCTGTGGGGGCCAGGAACAGGTGAGCAGGAAGGACAAACCAAGAAGCATAGGGGCCATAACTAGGGAAGGGACTGAAGGAAGGAACACTCCACGGGAAGGAACTAAAACACATCAGAGGATGCAATGGGAGTCACAGTGGGAGGTGGAAAGGGAGAGATCCGTGTTTGTCTATGGGCTAGACGAAGCTAAAGGGGAAACTTATGATGAAAAAAAGCAGGAGGGGAAAAAAGCGATTAAAGACATCATGAAGGTGATAGGCGAGGGGGACATGACCCAGGTGGCAAATTTTCAGAGAATCGGGTGGTTCACAAAGAAAAGGAATCGGCCTCTCAAAGTGATTTTCAAGGCAGAATCAACCCGAACCATGATCCTGCAGGAGGAAGCACGGCTGAGAGGCAAGCAGGAGTTCCGGAGTGTGTACCTCGATCGAGACAGAACACAGGACGAAAGGAAGACGATGAAAGAGAGAGTTCAAAAACGAGAGAAGAAATGGGAGGAAATGAAAAAGGAGAGCAGAATAACCCAGGATCAAATGGAAGGACAAGCACACCCCCCAGAAACACCTGCAGAAGGACTCCAGCCACGACACCCCCAAGGCAACTGAACAATCCAAACCATCACACACCGATCCCTCTGTTCCCACCCCCCGCACCACAGTTACAGTATTAGAACAGAAGTTGAAGGTTTGGTACACAAATGCAGATGGATTAACGAATAAACATGAGGAATGGCATTATTATAATAAAAAAAGAAGCGCTAAGCCACAAGGGCTATACAGCGCTGCAGGGCAGGAAGGAAGCGAGGGCATCAGGTGGCAAAAGGGAGGTGGATGAGTAATAGGTTACGGATAACAGCGGAGCAGTGGATGGTGAAAGGGTAAAGGGCAGCAAGAGACTGAGCTAGAAAGGGATGAGGTGAGTGTGTAAGGTATCATCATCAGAGTTTGTGGAGTAAATCAGTCGTTGTCAAGAAGTCAATGAGAGAGTCAGGATTAAAGGAGGGTCCATCAGCAAGAAGGGAAGGTAAAGAGAGAGTAGTAGAACGAAGACGGCATTGGAGGTAAATTCTGCGTGCTCGTTGATAGAGAGGGCAGTCTAACAGAATGTGGCTAATCGATACAGGAACTTGACACTGCTCACAGAGAGGTACAGGGTGCCTCTCCATGAGATACCCGTGAGTAAGATGAGTGTGGCCAATGCGAAGACGGGAGAGAGTGGTCTCCCAACCACGGCACTGATGACAAAAGACAGCCAGTAACTTATGCTCGGTTTAATAGAATGAAGTTTGTTACCAAGCAGAGTTGACCAACGTTGTTGCCAACTGGCGTGAAGGTGGGTAGCTATTGCAGCAAAATAGTCCAGAAATGGAACACCTCTATAGGAAATTGGTAGGTCATGTACTGCTCACCGCGCAGCAGTGTCTGCCTGTTCATTGTCCTGTACGTCGACATGACCAGGGACCCAACAAAAAT